CCCCAAAACCCCAAAACCCCACTATTGGTCAATAAGTGAAAAAGAAGCAATCAAGCAAATTAAAGGATTTATTCCTTATTTAAAATCACCTATAGAGTCCAAATATTCAGTTTCATGAGCTTTTATGTAAATTGTCAAGAGCCTTGGTGATTAATCTCCTTCCAGCAAAACTAAATATTACTCCAATCAGCATCACGCTTGATTTTATCATACTAAATTCAATAGCATTTAACTCTGGGTCCTCATCCTTAATTGTTCTAAGAATTTCTTGTTTTGTTTTGCGATCACCTTTGGCTGAATAATCGTCAAGAACTTTCATTATTTAATCCTTTCCCCAATAGTCTCCTTCCATTTTATAAATTATTAATGATTGTGGCAAATTTATAATTATAACTAAAATGAGTAAATACACTCATATGGTAATTCCATCTTAGTATTACAATTAAAGTTTGTAGGTTTAGGTAATACTGGCAAGGAGTATACAAAGACCAGACATAATGTCGGAATGATGTGCATTGACTACATAGCTAGGCAATAGAGAGTTTAATTCAAGCAAAAAGTAATTCATTATTGTAAATAATTCACTACATAAAAGGCTGCAATCAGTGGAGAGTATGCTGAATTCTCAATAATATCCCCTTAGTTTAAGATGAATGCAATTCTACTTTAGCCAATTTCATATATGAATATAATTGGGGGTAGTGTAGCAAGAGGTCTTAAGAATTTTTAAATTGATAAGACTCAGCTTTTTGTGTTTCATGATGATTTAGAACGAAAGCTTGGAAACTTTAGAGTTGTTAAAGGTACAAGTTTCAAGTAAAAATTATACTATCTTTTCATACTTTATTAGAGGACATAACGGACTAAAAAGCATAAAACAGGAATTAGGAGGATTCAATGATTTTATTAGATTTGGAATCGGTATAGGCAGACCCGATTCAAGAGATATGAGTGTGGTTTCAGCCTATGTCCTTAATGACTTCTTAAGAAGTAAATAAAATTTTGCTAATATTTGTAATAAAGATGAATCTGAAGTACTAGAAAATGAGGTCTTCAAATAAATTTATCAAAGAATAATGCAAAATAAATTAGAGGCAGACAAAATCTGATTTGATAACAAAAATTTAAAGACTCACGGGGTTTTGGGGTTTTGGGGTTTTGGGG